AAGTAGGGTTGTTTATTTCCCACAGGGTCATAGTGAACAGGTTAGTTTTTTCGGAATTTGAGGTTAGCTAGTTTGGTAAATAATTGATTTTGAAGCACATTTTGTTTATTGCAGATGGTATGTGTATCAACTTGTGCTGCTACATGAAGAATGAATTTTGAATATCTTTTCATTTTCTATGGTGATGAATTTTAATTTAAAATATATATGACTACAATTTCTCTTTTGCCTGTTAATAATACAGATAATATAAAGAACAACCGAAGAATGTCTCTTTTTAGTATCCAATGCCATATTGCCTTGTTAAATTTTTAAAAATAATTATAACTCGGGCAGCGTTGGATTGTGCTACCTTAATTGATACTTACTCGAATCTCTGACTGAGATGAGTTTGTCCTTTGCGTTGCCCTTCTCATTGTTCAGTTATTATATTTACTATTGCTTTTTCTGAAATTTTATGATTGAGCTAGATGGTAACATATTGATATAACTAACAGCTAGGAAGTTAATACAAAAAAGGGGTTTTATGGGACCTGAAAGATAAAGCAGTAAAATAGGTGATAGTTTTATTTGGCGAGGATGACCTATTATTTTTCGCGGGGATAGAGACGGAGGCAATTTTTTACCCTCCATAAAAAATTCCCACGGGATCCCCGTCCCCGCCATTGACGGAGATGGAGATGGGAAGGGAGTCCCTCCCCCATGGGACCTGTTGCCATCCTTAGTTTCTCTTAATAGGATTCGACCGATTCTGATAAAAAAAAACAACTAAGATCTAGATTTTTCTTTTTCTCGTTGAAAAAACAGGAAAAACCTAGATTCGAGACACAAATCTGTACACTATACGAATACGCGTATGTTTAGAATAAGGAAGAACACTGACCATCCTTCCAACATGCCAGTGCTAGCGCTACTGCTTTGCTGTTGTGGAGGAGGCTGTGGCGGGGCGTACTGAGGCGCGTACGGCGGAGGATATCCCGGCGGGGGATATCCTTGAGGAGGATATCCCGGTGGCGGATATGCGTCCTTGGGATACCCTTCCGGCGGATAACCTGCAGTTCGCCATCACCAGGCACGGAAATTGAGAACGAAATCATCAGATCCATCAGATCCATTCAATCAAAGTCTAATGAAGGAACTGAAATACATAAATTCACAAGAATCTTGACTGACCTTGAGGAGGCGGGACGCCGACGGGAGGCTGTTGCTGGTTGTAATAACTCATCGTTATCTTGTTCGGTTGCTGAGGAAGCCTTTCCTTTCCAAAAGAGGGTTTAGGGAGAGAAAGCCGTAAAGAGAAAAGGGGAGTGGATAGATTTATAAGGAGAAAGTTCAAACAAAAATTAGTAACAGATAACAATGCTTATGAATTAAGCAATTTTTTTTTTTTTTGTGAAAAAAAAAA